CTTTTTTTATACAACCCAGGCCCACCTGCCCAGGGATGATGTCACCACAGTGGGCGGGGGGGCCCTCCCACATCAATCAGCAGTGAAGGCACTCTCACACATGGCTATGTTCTGAGCTCATTTGGGAAATTCTTCACCTGAGGTTCCCTCTTCCCAGATCTAGGTTGTGTCACATGGACAAAAGACAAACGAACAAACAAACAAAAACAAAAGCAAACAAACAACAAACACAAACCTAACCAACACTCCAAGGAACTCACTTGGTGAAAGGAGAAAAATGATTTCCTCAGCCGTCCTCTGACCTTCACATGTATCTCCACACAGATGCGCGCGCACACACACACACACACACACACACACACACACACAAGCAAATAAAGAAAGACAGGGCTGAAGGGATGGCCAAGCAGTTAAGAGTTCTTGTTGCTCTTCTCAAGGACCTGAGTCCGGCTCCAGCACCCACTGTGGACAGCTGCAGGGGACTTACCACCTTCTGGCCTCTGCAGGCACTGGGCATGCGTGCCCACCTGGCACTCCACACGATATCATCAGTTATTCATTTATTCTCGTATGTAGAGTTTCCTAATGCTAACTTTCTCCCGCCACCCAAGCAAGGACTCATCCCTTTCCACCCCACATCTAATGGGTCACTACGGATCGGGTAAGTACTATTATGACACAGAGCTGGAGCTCTCCAAACCGGAGGCTTAAAATAAATGGTTTTTATTTCTTCGTATGCGCATGTTAACTGGTTGCTCTTTCTGGTCTGAATGACCTCGGTTGGAGCTGAGTCAAGGGTAGCCTTATGTATGTTTAGGGCCCCTAGGAGGAAGCAAAGAGAGGCAATCAGAACAAATCAGGACTTTCTCCAAGTGGTCCCTTGTCTAAGAATTGACTTCATTGGATCTCAAGGTCGCAAACATTTGCCAGCAGTAAGTTCTTGACACAATGTCCAAGAAGCTTTCAAGAGTCATTCATATAACCGTTATGACCCCAGCGACCAGTGCCTTTTGGTTGTCAACCTGACTGCACCCAGAAGCCAGTGAAGCGCAGTTGCTACGCTGCTTGCCTTCATCCTTCCGGCAAGTTCCTCTCTCCACGGTCCTGCATCAGGATCAGAACCGACTTCTTTGGGCTTCCGACGGAAGAAGTCCAAACACAGAAAGAAGATCAGCAGCTCTCTGGGAACCCTCCAGGCCTTCAGTGTGGGACAGCTGGGACATTCAGCCCTGGGGGCTGAGCCACTGCTGGAGTCTCAGTCTCAGCATGAGACCAGCATTATTGGACTACCCAGGCCGCATCCTGGAAGCCACTCTAACAAATCCAGCCTGATTTACAAGAGCTAGTTCCAGGACAGGTGCCAAAGCAACACAGAGAAACCCTGTCTCGGGGGGGAAAAAAAGTCTAGGTTTTAATTCAGAGGACCTGCAAACAAGCTTCTGGTCGAGAGAACATTTTATGACAATGCCAGGCGGTGTGGCACACGCCTTTAATCCCAGCGCTCGGGAGGCAGAGGCAGGCAGATCTCTGTGTGGTCGAGGCCAGCCTGGTCTACAAGAGCTTAATGTTCCTGTATGCAAATCTCGTTCTTCAGCCGACATCTCAAATGTCACAACTGTAAGGAAGTGCTTCTTGCCCGACAAAGTAAAGGCTCCTACGTCTTCCACGGCAAAGAGAACAAGCCTCGATTACAGTGTTCACTCCAGTACACTGTGACTGTTTGCAGGCCTGTCTGATGTCTAACCACTCACTTCCCTGTGGGGTTTGGACTATATCATTTTTTCTTTTTTTCTTTCTTCCTCCAGTAGTTGGAACAGTTTTTTCTTTTTTTTCTTCCTCCTTTTCTTTCTTTCTTTTTTCTTTTTCTTTTTGATAGTTTTTTTTTTGTTGTTGTTTTTTTGAGACCCTGGTTGTCCTGGAACTCACTCTGTAGGTCAGGCTGATCTCAAACTCAGAGAAATCTTTCGGCCTCTGTCTCCCAAGTGCTGGGATTAAAGGCATGAGCCATGCCAGCCCTTAGGACAATTCCTGACAATAAATATAGCAAATGCCTTTCTGTTTATTGGTTGGTTGGTTTGAGACAGGGTCTCACGCAGGGCTGGCTTTGAACTCCGCCTCCCAGTGCTCAGATTACAAGTTTGAATTTACATTATTTATTTTTTAGTAGACTATTTTTTATTATTTGACAATTTTATACACATAAATAGCACATCCATTCCCCACAAGGAGCCCTCAACTCCTGCCTGCCCTCTCCAGGCGCCTCCAGCACGTCTCCTGCCCTCTTCACAGTCACTTTTTTTTTGTTCTTGTCAGTAACCCATTGAGTCCAATTAGGGCTGCCTATTAGTTAACTACTCTCGTTAACTTGATCTTGATCACAGCTGCCTGAGTTCACGGTGCAACGACCACGTCACGTCCCCAAAACAAAATCTCACGCGCTCACCCCCTCCCATTCCCCGGTTTTTACCTCCTTTCTGCTCTTCTTCCCGGGCATCTCCTTAGCCTTGCAGGGAGAGAGGACTGATACACGGGACGGAGCAATCACCAGTCTCAGCACACTCCACCAAGTTATGAGTCTCATCATTAACTGCTGACGACTGCAGAGAGAAGTGTCTCGGGCCCAAGCTGAGAGCAACACTAATCTGCAGATAGAAGCATAAGCATTATTCAGAAGGCAGTTTGACAACATGTCCCTTAACAGAACGGCAGTAGGTTCCTCCTCAGGTCAGTGACTTCCTGAGTCATGGGGCTTCTGACGAGATTGACAGTCACCATTTTCACGGTTTATGCCCCGGCAATGCCAAGCATGCATGGGCAGCCCGTTTATGGCGGGTCTCCAGTTGTTCCTATCCTGGGCAGTCCTAAATGCTTGTGTTATTGTCATACTCAAGGTTCCACAGTCTTCCTTTATGCTGTCTGTCCAGTGTTTTTTGGGGGGCCTTCCTCTTCGCCTAATCCCGTGCATTCCTCCAAGCAGTGCTACCTTTGGGTATTTGCCCCAGGTTGATATACCAGATCTGAATTCCCTCCTGTGGAAGCGGCCTCAGATCCAATCCAAAGCAGTTAGTTATTCCCATAACTTTCATATCACCATTGCAATAGTGGGTACATCTTGCCTGGCACTAACCGTGCTTGCTTTTTTAAATAATTAATTAAAATTTAAATGTCCTTTTTGATATTCCAGATTCAAGTGGAAAGAAATCTTATCACAGAAATCAAATCTCAACTCACTGTTCCTCAAGTATGTGACCTTTTAATCAACTTATTTGAATAAAATATACTATTAAACTGCCAGTATGTACTCATATGCCTTCAATGTGTTACATGTCAAAATGAGAATGTAAACACTAGATATATTAAATTTATAAATGTGTCATATTAAAACAAACTGTTGTTACAATGTAGTTGGGGCTACATTATGTGGAACATTATGTGGTGTTCCTTCTTCCTAAACTTGCATTTTTATGTATGTGTATTTTTCTGAGACAGAGTCTCACTCTATACCCCAGACTGGCCTAGAACTCACAGCAATCTTCCTGCTTTGGCCTCAAGAATTCTGGGATTACAATTATGAGCCACCATACTCATCCTCCATTCATTTCCAAGCTTCACACAAACCTGGCAACCTTGGATGGATCCCTGGAACCCAACATAAAGGTAGGGTTGAAGAAAATTAGTTGAAGAAAATTAGAAAAGGCCGGGTGGTGGTGGTACCCTTCTTTAATCCCAGCACTCGATAGGCAAACGAATCTGAGTTCGAGGCCAGCCTGGTCTACAGAGCAAATTCCAGGATGGCCAATGCTACATAGAGAAACGCTGTCTAAAAAAAAACAAAACAAAAATAATTTTTTAAAAAGTGCTTTTCGACTTGAGAGAAATTTAAGTATAGTCTTGAGGTGAATGATTGGGGCTGAAAACAGTGGCTTCAATCATACTACTATGAAATAAAGTAAGACGACATTTCGCCGCTAAGGTGTCACACCAGTATCTGAAAGGTTTAAGCCAGGTGGTGACAGACAAAAGACAAAGTATACCTAACTCACAAAATGTCGCCCAGGTCCCTTCACCTAACCTCCCACGAAACACTTCATTTCAGGAAATCATAGGAACCCTGCTATTTACTTGATGTGTTAGATTTTTCTAGACGGACTTCTTTTTGTTTATAACTCCTCCACCCCACGCCCCGTCCTTTCTTTGTTTTGTTTTGTTGGGTTATTTCGAGACAAGGTTTCACTGTGTAGCTCTGACTATCCTGCTGACTATCCTGGAACTCGATTTGTAGACCAGGCTGGCCTCGAACTCACAGAGATCCACCTGCCCCTGCCTCCCGGGTGCTGGGATTAAATGCGTGAGTCACTACGCCCGGCAATTTTTCCCCTTAGTCTTTTAGGAGTCGAGTTCCCTTTCGTCAACAAGGGGTTTTCTAAATCTACTTCCACCGCCTCGCAAACTCCCCGGCGTTTCTGATATCCGGTTCTGGGACGAACTAGTGCGCTCTGGCCATTTTCAGGGTTTGAATGCGAATCCAGGTCACTCACAACCTCGCCCAGCCAGCCCAGTGGGTCTGAGTGGCTAGCAACAGGCAGCCGGAAGCCCGGGCATTGTCGTCGGATCCTGGCTCCGGGGAGGCGAGCAGACCCGGAGAGGCGAGAGCAGCCCCGAGAATGGAGCGGCCTCCCGAACCTACTCCTTCTCAACCTCAAGTCCTGCAGGACTCCGAGGAGTATGACGGATTGCAAATCCACGCAAGAAGTGACGGGCACGCAGACTTAATTTAGTGCATACATCTGCCACCTCGCCACTCGGAGAATAGTAGCAGGAGCTACGCGACTGGGCCGGACCAGAATGCTTAGACCCCGCTCGCCCTCCTCCTCTTCACCCTCCGAGTGGGGGCGGAGCCTAAAGGTTTCCGTCTCCGCCCGGAGAGGGCGGGGCCAGGATGAGCGCGGGGCGGGGCCTAAGGGCGCCCGCCTCCCGCGGGCGAGGGCGTGGCTTGGCGAAGGCGGGCCGCGCACGACGACGTCTGGGGAACGCGCGCGCCTCCGCGGGGCCAGGCCGGGCGTCGCTGCTGCTGGTGGCGTCTGAGTCTGAAGGCTTGGCGAGAAGGTCTTGCGGCGGCGTGTCGGGCTGTTGGTATCGTGGCTGCAGAGGCCACCCGCCCCTGGTCATGAGAGGTCAGGCCTGGGGAAGGGCGGTGAGGCGGAGGGTTTCCGGGGAGAAGAGCCGAGGTTCGGACGTGGGTGGAGAACTCGGTCTTCGCAGATTCCGGAAGAGTTGGCGTTTACTTTTCTTTCCCTTTTCCTTTCTCTTGTTTATGTATGAAGGAGGACAGGAAGGTAGTTGTTTGGGTGTGTCCCCCCCCCTTTTTTTTATAGCAGAGACACAAACTGTCCTGTCCCAGGTCGCTCTTCAGAGAGTGAGGAGATCCGGCCGCCGAGGCTTCGGAGCCTCGCCGAAACGTCACACAGTAACTGCAAGGCTCCCGAACAAGCCCCGGCCGCAGCTTGCTCCCTCGCGGGAGAAACGGGAGAGGCCCGGCGGTGTGAACTCTGTGACTGGCACGCTCGTCCGAGATCCACTCTGGATCACGTAGGGATCTTGCCCTGCCCACAGCCTCCCTTCTGACACCCCTACCCCCGCCACACACCGCCCATCGTGGCATTTTTCTTCCAGAAGCTAACTCCTTATTCAGACTAAAACATCACTTAGCAATTACGTGATGACTCCCCCTAAGGACCCCATTTCAAAGGTATCTGAGTAACATTCTTTTGAGGAGTAACAAGACTATTAATTACTGGAAGCCTTATTAGCTTTGGAAAGGCTTTCCAACATAAAATGAAATGTCTAGTAGGTCACCCAAATGAAATGCTTATCTTTTGATGCTTAATAAGGCACTGATTTTTTTCCTTTTAAGCATTAGTGAATCTTTTAAAAATTTGTTACATTGATTTAGTGTGTGTGTGTGTGTGTGTGTGTGTGTGAGAGAGAGAGAGAGAGAGAGAGAGAGAGAGAGAGAGAGAGAAAGAGACCCCGAGAGACCGAGGGAGACCGAGGGAGGGAGGACAACTTGTGGGAGTCAGTTCGTTCCTCTACCATCTGGGTTCTGGGATTTAACTTCAGTGACTGAGCCATCTCACCTACCCTTAGCAAACTTCTTAATGTGGGCTCTTCTTTGGAGTCCATGTGCCTACATACGTACTCGGTATGAGTGTACTGCTCCTCATAGTGCTATCAGCTGGACACCCACTCTTGGACTTTTTGCTTATGTCTTTTGGCATTAGAGAAATCAAGACATCTGCGGCTCAAAAGCAAATGTTCACTAAATATGCTTTGTATTTTAGTAACCCCTAAATAAGTTAAACACATTGGTTTGCTAGATTGACTTTGGGGTTGGGGCTGTTTAGGATTGGGGTTGGGGGAGCAGAGCCTTGGCAGTAGCAGAGATGGAAGGAGTAGTGACAACAAACCTGAAAGACCATCTGTGACTAGCAGCTCCTCCCTCAGTGAGTAAAGGACACCTAATCACAGTATACTGCTTGTGATTAACTGTTAACTCACAGTGCTCTTTGATTTTATTTTTTAAGAAGACAGAGTCCTGAAGCAGAGACATCTTAGAGAAAAACTATTCCAGGGCCATGCAAGCCAGCTGTAGTCAACTGCATGATCCTCCAGGCACGGCAAGTGATGATGCGCCAGCCTCCCAGTGCGTTCACCCATCAAGATCAACAGAAGGTTCTTCTTTCCACCCTGGAGACATACATATCCAAATAAACTCCGGACCTAAAGAATATCCTGAAAATCCGAGCTCTAGAAATGCAAGGTCAGGTGCCTGTAGCTGTGCCCACGGATGTGCACATACTCGCTTCCGGAGTCACTCCCACAGTGAAGCAAGGCCACCTGAGGACTTTGCCACAGAATCTGGAGAACATGGAAGTGGCTCCTTCTCAGAGTTACGCTATCTCTTCAAGTGGCTGCAAAAAAGTCTTCCTTATATTTTGATTCTTGGTATTAAACTTGTTATGCAGCATATAACAGGTAGGAAATGACAAAATATTGACTAAATTATTGAATTCAGTTTCTCTTTTTACTGATAATTTTAACCTATGTATTTTGATTGCTAACTTTTAAAATTATGTTTTAATTTATATTATTAGCATATATAATCTTGGTTTTTTTTCTTTTCTTTCAATTAACTAGAACTTATTTTCTAACAGGAATTTCTCTTGGAATTGGGCTGCTAACAACTTTTATGTATGCAAACAAAAGCATTGTAAATCAGGTTTTTCTAAGAGTAAGTATAACAAGCAACTAAATTATTAACTGTTTCTCTCTACAGAATTAGAGATAACTTTGAGAGAAATAGAAATAACTTTCAAGAAGACTGGGAAGCAACAGGATAAGTTCTGATGTTCACCACATACTTAATTTGATTTTCTAAATGACTTGGAATAAGTTACCTGTCCTAATGCTTAGTTATCTCACCTTTTGTTGTTCAATTCTTAATAAGTAGATAAGAGGATTAAAAGACTTAGACCACACTATTTGATCTTGCTTGGCAAGGGCCTTTATACTTCATGAGTTAATTGAAACATATTAAGTAGTATGATATCATTAAAAACCTTAGTTGTTGTACCATAAGATTGAAAAAATAAGTAAAATGGAGCATTGAATGAATGGGCACTGGTCATTTTATGTGTCTATTTGTTTGAGACAGGGTCTTACTGTGTATCCCTGGCTGTCCTGAAATTCACAGTGTAGACCAGGCTGACCTCAAACTCAGAGACCCACCTGCCTCTGCCTTCCGAGTGCTGGGATTAAAGGCATGCCCTACCATGAATGGCAGATGTCTCTTAGTAAAAAAAAAAAAAAAGCTCAATTTTTCTAGTAATAAAAGTTTGAATCATATAAATCCTTAGAAGAAATTCCAAGAGTCTACACAATTTTAGCTCAAGAGCATTTTCTAAAAATGGATCATATCTGGGAATTTATAGTATAGCCTATTAACAAAAATTTAATGCAAAGTTTAAAACTAGCACAGGTTAATGCTGGGTATGGTGGTTGTGTTTGTCTAATTCCAGCACTGGGGAAGCTGAGGCAGGAGGAGTGCTGTGAACTTAAAGTCAGTCTGGACTGTGTAGTGAGCATCAGGCCAACGTGTGTTATGGTGAGACCCTGTCTTTAGAAGAAAAAAAAAAGAAACAAATAACAAAAATATTAATACAAGGTTGGGCATGGTGGCACATGCCTTTAATCCCAGCACTCAGGAGGCAGAGGCAGGTGGATCTCTGAGTTCAAGGCCAGCCTGGTCTACAGAGATTCACCTGCCTCTGCATCCTGAGTGCTAGGATGGATTAAATGTGTGCACCACCATTGCCCAGTGACATTTTTTTTTATTTAATATTTTTGGGGGGTGTTTCTCTGTGTAGCTTTGGAACTTGTCCTGAAACTTGCACTGTAGATCCGGTAGTCTCGAATTTACAGAGATTCGCCTGCCTTTGCTTCCCGAGTGCTGGGATTAAAGGCGTGTGCCACTACCACCCAGGATTTCTTTAATTTTGTGAAGTTTGCCTGAACATAATGAGGTGTCTTTCATGTATGTCTGCATTATCCATATAGTCTAGAGGCAGCTTTATATAGTATTAGTGTACTGGGTTTTGACTGGCAGTGAAATCAGGTGAGGAACTTTCCACATGGGCCATCATGTTAGTGCTCAAAAAGTTGGATTAGGATGCTCAACTGTAAAACTTTGAATTAAACGAGTAATTAAAACTTGAATTTCAAAGATCAAAATTATAGCATATTTATGAACTTAGTTACTTCAACATTCATTTTTTTTTTTAATTTCTGTTTTATGGAAGAGAAAGAAGCAGCAAAGGTAAAGATTGCTTTGGGCAGGTCCTTTATGTCAGTGCTTCTTTGACTTCTAGGTCTTGTGTTTTTAGATTCTTTGTGGGAGTGGTGACTTGAAACAGGGTCTCTCAACACATTCTTGGCTGTCCTGAAACCCTGTAGCTCAGGCCTCATACTCAACAGAGATCATCCTGCCTCTGCCTTCCAAGTACTGGGATTAATAAAAGGTCTGTGCCACTATGCCCAGCTTGTATTCTGTTTTGTTTCATTTTGAGTTTTTTTGTTTTGTTTTTCGAGACTTTGCTTTGGAGTCTGTGCTGGAACTCACTCTGTAGACCAGAGTGAGTGGCCTCAAACTCACAGAGATCCACCTGCCTCTGCCTCCTGAGTGCTAGGATTTAAGTATGTGTTACCACTGTCCAGCCCAGCTTGTAGTTTTAAATTTTGTTTATTAAGGACTAATTAACAAAAACAGTGGTTGTGACAATGAACAATTTAGCACATTAAATAATTTTAAAAAACATTCTAAAGTAATAAATTGATCATCAAGTTAAAATGATACTAGTAATTCTGGCCCAACATAACACTTACATAAATTACAAAATTGTTTCTTTTTCAGGAACGGTCATCAAAGATTCAGTGTGCTTGGTTATTGGTGTTCCTGGCAGGTTCTTCTATTCTTTTATATTACACCTTTCAGTCTCAATCACTTTATTACAGGTAATTAGAGATCCTAGTATACTTCTGTTGTTTATCATTTATTCCATGGCACTTTGACTGTATAATGAGTATTACAGGTCAGTCTCCTTTCATGATTGACAGGTGTGACCTTGGCACATAGCATGTGTTCAATAAATACTTTTTGATAAGTGGATTTGTTTGATCATTTTTTTTGTTTTGTTTTGTTTTTTGAGACAGGGTTTCTCTGTGTAGCTTTGGAGCCTATCCTGGAACTAGCTCTGTAGATCAGGCTGGCTTCAAACTCAGAGATTCTCCTGCCTCTGCTTCTTGAGTGCTGGGATTAAAGGTGTGCGCCACCACCGCCCGGCTTGTTTTTTGTTTTTGAGGCAGAGTCTCACTGTGTAGTCCAGGGTGCCCTCCACCTTACAGTCCTCTTGCCTTGGCCTCTTGAATGCTGAAAATATAGGTATGTGCCATTTACAGTTTAATCAGTGTTTATTTAGTATCATTAGGTGGTTATTATCAACGTTTTGTTTCTAAAAATGAGTCATTAAAACACGTGGTTAAGATGCATTTTCATGACAGATATTCTGAATTTTCAGCTTTAATCAAATAATTAGAAGGCCTAGGTTCAGTGTAATCAATATGAACCAATCTGGGCTGTAAGGAGTGGTAGAGAGTGTGAACCTAGATTGAGTGTGAAACAAGGATGACCTCAGGCTGGAAAGACAGTGCCATGGCTAAGAGCATCTGCTGCTTTTCCAGGAAACTCCAGTTCAGGGGCTCAGTGATCTGATGCCCTCTGCACCTGCACTCAGACACGCACATCCCATCCCCACAACACACACAAACACATACTTTTAAATTTGTGTTTCCAGAACATGTCTAGTACTTAAAAAAGACTGTCTGGGCATAGCCTGTAATCCTAATGAGGCCTGCCTAGGTGGCAGTGATACCCGTCTGAAGTAACACACAAAACAAAAGGAGCTCACAGACCTGCACAAAATCAACCAGGAAAGGAAGATGGAGAAGAAGGCCCAGCCCGGACATGAAAGGCACTGCACCTCTTAGAGCTGCTGTAGGAGTGTATTGTTAGACGCCAGAAAACACAGACTCGGGGGTTGTTCACTGGTAGAGCACTTAACTGTATGTAAAATATGTAAAGTACTGCAGCAAGCTTTACATTTGTATATCACCTTCATAAGTGTTTATGCTTTTCTCTTGGTAGCTTAATTTTCTTAAATCCTACACTGGATCAGTTGAGCTTCTGGGAAGTTCTTTGGATTGTTGGAATTACAGACTTCATTCTAAAATTCTTCTTCATGGGTTTAAAATGCCTAATTTTATTGGTGCCTTCTTTCATCATGCCTTTTAAATCAAAGGTAAGAAACTAACTAATGCTTATTGGAATGATGTTAGCAAAACCTTCATTGAAATGTCTCTTTGAATGTCTCTTTGTCTTCATTCAAATGTCTCTTCATTTAGAGGCCAGAAGAGAGCATCAGATACCTTGGGACTGGCGTTAGAAGCATTTGAGCTGCCTAATGTGGGTGTTGGGAACCCAACTCAGGTCCTCTGGAGGAGCAAGAAATGCTGTTGACTGCAGCGCCATCTCTCCAACACAAAAATATCCCTGGCAACCATTTGTTCAAGTACTAACTTAATTGGCTAAAATCAGGATTACATTTGCTTCCGGCATAATTGAAAACTCAATCTTCATATTATATGTGGGAAAATTCTAGATTTGCACTTCTATTTTGCTCCAAGGCATTGCCAGTTTATAAAGCGATTACATAAGCAGTCATTTAATGACTTACTGTTACTATTAGAGACAAGGTTTCACTCCATAGCCTGAGCTACTCTGGAACTCACTGCAGTCCTACTACCTTAGCCTCCCAATTCTGGGGCTATGAATGTGAGTCACCAAACCCAACTTATACATCAAAACTTTTTCTTTCACATTTATTTACTTTGTGTATACTCTCCACCATGTGGAGACCCACTGAGTCATCTCGCTGGCCAACATTTGGGAAATGAGCCAATTTTGGAAATACTTGGAAAGCAAGCCATGTGATGACAATGGTATGTGATAGTCAATTTGAATTTGTCAGTGTTAATCATTATTCTGAAATATAATTTCATGGGATTAGTGTATTATATACTCGTGATGTTCTCCTTCAATATTAAATATCTACTGTGTGTTTAATACCTTGGGTGGCTGAATTTATTTCTTTTTCCTTGCTTTTTTAGGGTTATTGGTACATGCTTTTAGAAGAATTATGTCAGTGTTACCGAATTTTTGTCCCCATACCAGTTTGGTTTCGGTACCTTATAAGTTATGGGGAGTTTGGTAATGTAACTAGATGGAGTCTTGGGATATTGCTGGCTTTACTCTACCTCATATTAAAAGTAAGTAACATTATAACCCTGGCAGAGTGACTCTTCTGATCACTGATTTTATATTGCTACTAAGTTGCCTCAAAATTTATGTTCATATCACTAACTGAAAGTTATAACAGACTCTTAACTATTTAGAAATGTAGAGCTGGGGTATACTTGTAATCCCAGCTACAAAGGAGGCTGAGGCTGAGGCAGGAGAATCATGAGTTTGCCAGTGTTGGCAACCTACTAAGACCTTGCCTCCAGAGAGGTCCAGAAAGGGTAGGAGAAGGAACCTAGTGGTCTGGGGAAGCAGGTACCGCAGTGGTTCTTGTTCTGCTGCTCATGCATGGTGTCTTGGCCTCCTGAGCAACAGAGATTAAAAGTACCTGCCACCATGCCAAGCTCTGTGTCTCCATTTTTGCTGAGTTGCGGGGTAGACTTCCATACCTGTGTATCTATGGGAAATGAGTAGAAAACACACAAACCCTCACAGTACCGTTTGTGATACATGTAGTTCTCAAACCCGTGGGATATCTTGTCCTCCTCCCTTTATGCCCGATCTCTTCAATTTATTATTTTATCAATCTTTTTTTGGTTTGGCTTTTCAAAACAGGGTTTCTCTGTGTAGCCTTATGAAACTTTTTTTTTTTTCTTCTTCCAAGCAGTTTATTCAGGACCTTGTTACAACTTATGAAACTTTTTAATTGTTCTGTTTCTGGGGAGGTTGAGACAGGAACAGCTCTGGCTCTCCTGGAACTCATATAGACCAATGAAACTTTGTGGTTTTTTGAGACAGGGTCTCTGTGTATCCCTGGCTGTCCTGGAACACTGTAAACCAGGCTGGCCTTGAACTCAAAGATTCTCCTGCCTCTGCCTCCCCTGGGATTAAAGGTGAGTACCACTGCCACCACCTAGTGAAGCTTTCAAATCTAAATGCCAAGAGTATTTGAATCAAATTGATTTATTTTTTATATATGAGTGTTTCCCCTGTGTTTATATTTGTGTATCACATGAGTGCAGTGCCCGCAGAGGCCCGCAGAGGTGACATCCTGGGATTGGAGTTAGAGGTGGTTGAGAGCCTCTGTATGGGTCCCAGGGACGAATGGGAGAGCACTGTTAGTTTGTCTTCATTAGATTGTAGCTCTAGGTTAAGAGGTGGCTCAACTCTGCACTAGTCTGTTATGTTGAAATGACATATAATTGTCTGCCTCGCTGTGACATACAATGAATATTAGGTTAGGTGGGAACTGAATTTCACCTTTGGTCTTTAGATTTAGCATATAGAGGTTTTGAATTAATAAACTGTCTTTTCCTCTTCTAGCTTTTGGACTTTTTTGGACACTTGAGAACTTTCAGACAGGTTTTACGAGTATTTTTTACACGACCAGTAAGTACTTAGCAGTTAAGAAAATACTTCTGCCTTGCTTCACTCTCGTTTCTTCAGTAGTTTTACAAGTAGAAATTCAGATGTTTCTTTTCTACTTTGAGATTATTTTCTAATATTTTGGCACTTGGGATTATAATGATAAATTTTAATTCCTTGAGCCTGTCCTGGAACTCCCTCTGTAGGACAGGTTGGCCTCAAAGTCATAGAGATCCTCCTGCCTCTGCCTCTGAATTAAATGTGTGCACTACCACCGCCCGGCCCATGAGCAGTTTCTTAAATTTCATTGTCCACCAATGCTTATGTACTGAATGCCTGTTTGCCCTTTCAGTTTGTCGTTCTGGAGCTGAGGCTCAGTGGTAGATACCTCACATAGCCTGTACTAAAGCACAAAAGCAAACAATTCAGTCCCTGGACATCTTTTAGGATTCATAAATACTTTTAAAAATCCTGTCATAGACTTCTGTTGTTTTTTCTTTTTTAATCCACAGTGTTTTTTTTAAAGTATTTATTTATTTACTTATTATGTATACAATATTCTGTCTGCAGACCAGAACAAGGCACCAGACCTCATTACAGATGGTTGTGAGCCACCATGTGGTCGCTGGGAATTGAACTCAGGACCTTTGGAAGAACAGGCAGAGCTCTTAACCGCTAAGCCATCTCTGCAGCCCTCCACGGGTGTTTTATATAGTTTCATTAATACTTTCCCTATCCCACTTCAGCATACTTTTATTTTGAAGACAACTCAGTAAAAATCATGTCCCTTGCAGTTTTTTTTTTGTTTTGTTTTGTTTTAAGTTTTATTTATTGGTTATATGCAACATGTTTTCCTGCACACCAGAAGAGGGCATCAGATCCCATTACAGATGGTTGTGAGCCACCATGTGGTTGCTGGGAATTGAACTCAGGACCTTTGGAAAAGCAGTCAGTGCTCTTAACCTGTGAGCCATCTCTCCAGCCCCCCTTGCAGTTTTTTTTACTAATGAAAATTTCCTCTTACTCAATTCAGTATTAGAAAATTAAGTTTTCTAGGCAAGCATTCTACCAACAACTGTATCTCCAGTTCATAACATACTATTAAGACTTTTTTTTTTTAGGGGGAAAAAGGATGGGTAGGGAAGAGCCCCTGATCCCAGGATTAAGTGATCCCAGCCTGAGTGATTTAGGATTTAACAATAAATCTGAAACAAGTAAATGGAAAAAAGTATCTACAGAGTAGTTCAAACTAACTGGCCAAGATACCTTTGCTTTAAGGTAATTGATGATATGAAAGGAAATGCTAGCTGGCTATGGTGGCGAATGCCTTTAATCTCAGCACTCAGCACTCGAGACAGAGGAAGGCAAGTCTCTTGTGAATTCAGTGCCAGCCTGGTCTACCTCGTGAGTTCTAGGACAGCCAGGGCTACATAGTGAAACCTGCTAAAATACAACAAAAAGAAAGTAAAAACTACAATAAAATTCAAGAGTTAAAAGCGTCAGCCATTTCACTTAGTTGAATCTAGTAAGATTAGTGCTGAAAATAACCTCATGAAAATGTCCTGTGGCTGTAACTCATAGCATGCTTGTCTGGCACATGTGTGAGGCCCTACATTCAGTATGCAACACAGAAGAAAAACAAAATATCAAACACCCTCATTGATATCTTCACTGTGAGACAAAGAGTAAAGAATCAGTTACTGATACAGATTTATTCTTGAGTCTCCCTAAGATATCCCGAGTACATATATGCATACATGTTGGGGTCTTCATCTAAAGGGATTCTCCAAACCACAAAAATAGTTGGTTTGTGATAGGGTTTCTCTGTGTGGCCCTGGCTATCCTGGAACTCGCTCTGTAGACCAGGTTAGCTGCAAACTGAGAGATCACCTGCCTCTACCTCCCGAGTGTTAGGATTAAAGCCATGCACAACTACCTCTCCAGCCCTAAAAAAAAAAAAGGTATTCTAAAAACTTCAGGATAACTACCTGTAGTGTATTCTACTAAATAGCATTTTATTGAAGGGAAATTGACATCAAGACCATCTAAACAGTATCCTGACTTGATTATTGTTTACCACCTTTCCCCTTCATATCTATAGAGAGCTTTCACTGTTATGGTTAACAATTAAACCCTACTGACTTTAGTAAGAAAGTCAAGACCTTAAAGAACTCAAACTATTTTTAGGACTTTTGAAGAAACTCTTTTTATTGGCACAGTACTGGGGAGTGAGCCCTGAGCCTTGCACGTGTGCTGCCACTGAGCCATACCCCAGCCAATTCAAAACCAGACTGTCCAGAGGAGCTTCTTCTAATGGAATTTGTCTTCATAGAGTTATGGAGTGCCTGCCAGCAAGAGACAGTGTTCAGATGCAGATGGTATTTGTTCAATATGTCAAGCTGAATTTCAGAAGCCAGTTCTTCTCATTTGTCAGGTAAAATTTCTAAGCAAACTACATAAAGCATTTTTCTTCTGACTTGAGAAAATTATGTTTATTATATGACAATATAAGGAATATAATATAAGGAATATTTAGTGGAAGATTGCATTCTGGGTACATATTGTTAATTTATTCGGGAAGGAGGATGTGATAGATTGTCTAAATCATGCCCCTTATGATGATGTTTTGATGATTTTTGTGCAGAGGAACCTATGAGGGGCGGGGGTAACCTGGTCAGTAACTTAGATACCAGAGCAGTTAGCAAACAGGTTCTATTTCTAACTGGATACTAGTCTTGATACTCAGTGGCAGCATTTGTTACTAAATATATAAGGAGGCTCCTTGCCATATTTCATAGTAACTGCAAGTAAGTTTCCACTAAGCAGGTAAGTGATCACATTTAAAAGGCAACACCTAGCAAAATAGTTCAGTGGCACAGTCAGAATACTTGTGATGGCTCTACCATTAAGAAAGTCACTTACTCATTTGTAAACTTCTGGGCCAGATGCTCTCTCAAAAACTTTAAAGAATTGGATCCTCTAGAGTGTGATATGTAAGATCTGGTTCTTCATTCCTTTACAGCATATATTCTGTGAAGAATGCATTACCTTATGGTTTAACAGAGAGAAAACTTGTCCACTGTGCAGAACTGTGATTTCAGATCGTATAAACAAATGGAAAGATGGAGCCACTTCATTGCACCTTCAGATATACTAAGTTGTATAAACTGTTAAGGCTACAAAACATTAATTTTATCTGGTTATGGTAACTATTGATAAAGGCATCATAATTGATTTCCAGGAGTAGAAAAAATGTTTCCAGATGGTTTTACGGTATTAAGAGACATGTTTGTAGTTCAGTTTCTTAAAGATTAAGTGCAAGAGCCATGTGTTTTTGGAGTATATATTAAATTAAAAAGTATACAAATATATTCCACTTATTTGACAGATAATTGCAGTGTTAAATTAGAAATGTTTTTTCTTGTTAATAATACCAAAACAGCAATTAGCAACTAGAACTAGCCACTTTAAAGGGGTGCAGGTCCTGTTTCCTGACATGGTTTTCAGAGTAAAGATTTTGCCTATTTTAAGATACATAATATCTGAAACAATTTTCTTCATCAGACTTTTGTAATCCCCATTCTAAAATTGCTTAAATTTTTCAGAAAATTGTATTTTTCAATGAAAGTTCTAAATGCTATATTTTACCTATATCACATTTTCTAAGTGAAGATTTATTGAGGATGATATATTTTAATACTGTATTATGCTCTATGACAAGCAATCAGTGAGAATAAATGATTTAGATTCAATCATTTTGTGGACCTCATATATGTGCTTCTTGCCGTCACTTGTACTGTTCAGTTTTGTGTTGACCTCTGACCTCTACACACATGTAGTGATACATACACAACAGTATTTTAAAGAATGGTTCTAATGTAGTGACATGTACCTTTAATAACAGGACGTAGGAGGCAGGGGCAGGAAGATCTCTGAGCACCAAAGAGAGAGCGATACTATTATATTTTATAAACTGGTAACTTCTGGGCTGGCAGATTAGCTCAGTAGATAGAGATGCTTGCCACCAAACTCAATGAATTTATTCCAATCCCTGGGACCCACATCATGGAAGGAGAGAACTCTTGTCTTCTGATGTTTACATGCATGCAGTGGCCTTTGCAAGCCCACAAACCTATGTGTAATAACTTTTTTTAGAGGTAACTTCAGTTGGAGAATTTCTGTACACCTTAGTGTGATATGAAGGCTTCAGAGATGGTAAGTTACCACCCAAAATGGTTATCATATACTAGACATTATATTTGCTACATTTCAGCACTACATTATTTTGTGCGTGAACATTACATTGTCAAAGGTAGCTATGAGGTGTAGGTAAGCAAACTGTTGATTATTAATATATAAAAAAGTATTCCCATGATTTTTATGTGAACTTAGATTCCACATAGCTTATTGCATATTTTTAAAAGGAAAGAATTCAAGTATATTCAAAATAACAAAGATGTTTAACATTTACTACATAAAGTCAACACTAAAATTTGTTATATATTTAATAGCTCTAATTTCTCAGGAGAAAGTTTTATAACTAATTGTTTCATACAAAAGTAGTTTATTAAATATGAGACCATGAACATATCTAACATGTTAATGAAAAATGTACATCTGGTATGTATACTATGGTAAATATGTATACTAATTTTTTCCTTTCGGGTAATAAAAAAAATCACTTCTATTTTATGTTCATTCAAATTTGCATTTAATTTCTATTTACATTCATTCAATCTGAAATCAAATATCTTAATACAGTAAACTAAATACAAGATGAAAAGCAGAAAAGGTGTTGCCCTTATCGCACTCATAATAAGGCAGCTGAAGAACTATTTAATAGATGCAAAGCCAACTTGGGGTAGAAGCAAACACAGTTTAAAGAGCAAACACTGTCAGAAACCCATCTTCCAGATGCTTCTCCAGAGAATCCAGGGAAATAATACTTGTGCTGTAGTGTTAAGAGTCACATGAGGAAAGTACTGTATTAATCAGCAACAGACCACAGGTCCTACGTGATGATTATGACTGTTTTGTCCAGCTAGCTAGTATCTGTCCCTACAACAAAGGCAGATGTTTTGGGTATTGACTCTTTTAGATACTAACCATTTTCAAAGCCTCAAAATCCATCCTTCATAAATTCAACAATTCTTGTGGGAATTATCTTCGATCTAGCCCTTGTAAGCTAGGAAATACAACTAACTGAATAGTTTTAAAAAGGTCCTATATTAATTATGATATCCAAGGCTCACGATATTAATACTAAGATGTTTTGTTTATAATTATTACCTATAGTACAGAATGTTGAATTTATGGAGTCTCACACATGCATCCTCCTGTCCCCAAATCTCAAACTATCTTCTAGCTCAAAAACAGTATGGAAAAAAAAAAGTCCTTGAAGTTAAGATCATAAAAGGGGAAGAAATAACATAATTTTCCTAAAGGTCTGGTTCAAGTTCAATAATTAATACACTGTTAATCACAGCTGGTTTATAAATCCCAGTTTAGTTATTCTGTAACACTACAAACCTTATAAAACAAATTTAGTAAACTTCAGTTCATTTTAATTAAAAAAATGGCATGTAGAAAATAAAAAAATATCCTGTAATAGCTGATTTTAAAGAAAATAATCAGGTAATAAAAGAAAAAGCACTTCATCTTTATACACTTACCTGGTACAAGCATGAACACCTCTTATAAACTCAAACTAGTATTAACATATACTTTACGCTTCAGTTTTTACAAATAAATACAGAGTAGGCCATATTGCATAGGCGTGTGCTTTCTGTCTGTGACACTCATGTGACACCTGACATGTTTTCACAGTCATAGTAGGGATATCCATTTATGAAACAATTTCTCAATCAACTTGTCACAGCATGAGAAATCAATTTCACTTAATGTTGTGATAGAAAAGCTATACATTATTTGTGTAGATGGAAGGTGTATAATTAATGCTTTCTATGCAAAAAAGCTGCAGTATTTGCCACTATTGCTGACACTACTACAGTTAAACAGTTTAATTAGGGGCAGTCACAGTGCACATATTACTAGCAACTAGGGCTGAGGAGGAACTGTTTGTAAAAGTTTTATGGAATTTGGCCAGGCAGTCAACGCTAGTCAGTAAACACATCTGGAAACAGATATCAGAGTAGCACAAGCCATTTGCAGTCTGAAATGATTCCTATATGCATCACCATAGGTGGGGTTTTGGGGGGAAGGGGGAGACTGTTTTTAAGGATATCACAAACTGTCAAAAAACAAAGAACTTTACAATTTCTGCTTTTAATCATCACCGCAGCTCTTCAGTTACTGCTGCCATTACAAGGTACTCACAAGCAGCTGCAGTCAGAAATCCAGGAGGGAGAATCAGATGATATAAAGCTTTTCTGTCCAAAGATGGATTTATCAGTTCTTTCATTTACTGCCACAATTGAAAGATTGTATTTCTAATCATCTGTCATGAGTTTTTTTAAAAAAAAAAAAGATGTTTTATGTATTTCATGTATGTGGGTATTTTGTCCATAAATTATGCACACCAGAAAGGGCATCTGATTCCACTGGACTGCCGTTAGACAGTTGGGAACCACCATTTGGGTGCTGGGAATTGAACTCGGGACCTCTGGAAGAGCCAGTGTTCTTAAGCTCTGAACCATCTCTCAGCCCCTCAAGGTTCTATTTTTGCTCACTGTTAAACTTTCCTCCCATCTCGCTTCAATTGCAATTGAAAGAAACAAGCTTGGTCTCTCCTGACTGACTCTGACGTGCATAAGGAATTTTATGGCTTGGATCCTATGAAGAACATAGCAAGAGCATCTACGTAAAGAAACCCTAGGGCTGCAACTATACCAAATGAGCTGCACAGACTGGAGACATAAAGACCAACAAAGCGAAGTGACAAGACTCGCAGTGTGACCATCTACCTAGACCAGTATGCACTGAAGCATATTTTATAAAGCTCTGCAGTTATTAAACCGTCTCACCAGCTAGTCATGGAAATGCTCCTTAAGGCAGGAAGTATTTAAGAAAGGTAAAGTTACCTTTATTTTTATTCTTTGTACCTGTAAATCACTTATGTAGATTTTGTTACATTTTCAAAAACAATGTCTGGTTAACATGTTTCCTAAATTAAGCCACTAAGTTTTCTTATTCACTATGGAAGACATTCATCAAAAGGCCATCAAATATTTTTACAATTAAAAAATGTAGCCCCAGAATAAGAGGGAAAAAACACCATTTTTTCTTTTAAACTCTTGAGGGAAAAAATGTTAAGGAAGGTAAACAGCAAAAATAGTACAAAGTAAAACTGAAAACCTTCCCCATATGCTGAGAAGAGACTGACTGAGGGTGGACCATGGCAACCCTCTTCCCTGCAGGTCTCTATCTCTCCTGCTTACTGCCCTAGCTATGCACTTTAGCCTGACTTTCTTCTGTCTTTCCTCGGCCGTGGGCTTGACCCAAATACTGGCATAAGAACAGGTGGCGATTTTTTTCCAGTGCAGTGCAGGCCCAGGGCAAGGATGCAATGTAGAACATATAACTTCTGCCTTTCCCAAGGCTTGCAGTTACGCCTAGCACACAACAGTACTGCAAGTAGAAATGATTAAACAGATTTTTTTCTTCTAGTATTACAGAAAAGTATTGCAGCTAGGTTACTAAAACAAAAACAAAAGACGCCCCAGGTTTACCCCAAGCCCTCGTAAGAGCCACAGCTGTGGTTAACAATGGTTCATTTGTATTTTATTTCATCAAGAGAAGAAACAGAAGCTGGCTTTCTTCATACCAACCAATAATTTTGCATTTTAAAGTTTGGGATGTTTTCCATAATGAGCTGAATCAAAAATCTATTTGAAAAATATATATTTATATAAAAAAAAGATTCAGGTTGTTTGCACGTAAAACATCAATCGATAAGTTTCTTTTGTCTTTGATTCGTGTTGCTGGAAAAAGTTTGACAAAGCTTGCATGCTAATTTGTCCTTAGTTGCAAGTATTACAGGCAATCCCATACTTTGCCTATGAAAGGATGACCCTTCTTTGACATCTTCAGGCTTCAACGGGTGATTCAGAAGCAACATCCTACCCTTAATACTGTCGGTTTGGAGCCATCAACGTGAAAACCCTTGCTAATGCTGAGATGTCGCTAGATAGGAACCAGTCAATCGATGTGTCTGTGGGTTCCACAATACTATTTTGCTTGAGTTTTTTTTGTGGGTTTATATTTTTGCACCATTGATTGATTTTTTTTTTAATCCATGTGTATTTTTTCCTCTCTCCAAAGCATTCTAGGTAATAGCGCTGACTGCCATTTTGATTCTCATCTTGTAGGATGCTCAAACATCCTTCCCCGAATTGTTTTCTTTTTTGCATCAATAAAAGCATTGTTTTGTCATAGATTCATACGCAGGTGCTCTGGCCGTTTTGAGATCATAGGAAAAGCTTGTTTTTTGTATGGCCCAGAGTTCGGCTGTCGGATTGGAAGTGGTGCTGATGCTTCCCCGCTCACTGTCACATCCATCTGCTCTATTCCACTTGTTTCCATTGGGTACTCCACAGGTGTCTGAGGGTTTGCCGTGCTGGCTGAAGCACCTCGTCCCCAGAAATCCCCAGGAGAGAATTTGACCGGGCTTTAAGATAAAGAAGAGCTATCATTCATTTGTCTCAAGGATCATCTTAACAAGAAATATTCCCATCGTGTTTAAAGGGAGGGGCAATGTGACTTTTTTTTTCTTTTTTTGGTTTTTCAAGACCGGGTTTCTCTCTAACTTTGGTGCCTGTCCTGGAACTAGTTCTTGTAGACCAGGCTGGTCTCAAACTCACAGAGATCCGCCTGCCTCTGCCTCCCAAGTGCTGGGATTAAAGGTTTGCGCCACCACTGCCCAGCTGTGACTTTATTTTTCTAATTTTATTTTCAGGTGCCCTGTCACAAAGGCAAAAGCTGAACCATCTTACCCCTAGACTAATCACTAGTGTGTCCAATCAAGCCTCTCTGCCTCTGCACTTGACCCCTAAAGCCCTTGATGACATAACGTTAAGTCATTTTCTCTCCCACTTAAAACAGCTTCCCATTGTATTTAAAATAAAATACTTTCCCAAACCTTTGCCATTTTCCTCATTCACCACATTCCAGGAACTCTGACTTCTTATTTCCAAGAAAAGGCATGTTTCTCTCCTCAGGGGCTTTTGTACCAACTGCTGTTCTAACTGCCAGTACTTCTGTAACTTCTTTCCATAACGAGCTTTCTCCTTATTCCTAGAAGTTACTTCATCAGGGAGGCCATGCTGACCATAGTTAGTGAAAGCCTCCGCGTTTTTCCTTGCTTTCTACTACAACCTTTTTTGTTTTTTAATGTGCACACGTGTGTGCGAGTGCACTTGGCATAACTTGGTAGGTACATACACATTTGTGTATATTTCTATCTTAGTTTATTAGGCAAAATATGACAGTCTTTTTATTTATGTAACTTACATGCATTTCTTAAGCTATATTCTTCTAGGATTAAAAACTGTTTTCCGTGCAAGCACAGGATCTCAGCTTAACACCCAGAATCCATGTAAGAAACCAAGTGGGTGTTGTGTGTGGCACATGGTTGTAATCCCAGCACTGACTAACATACCAGACTAGTTCCAGGCAGTGAGAGAGAAACTGCATGAGGAGTACCACCCAAGCTGTCCTCTGTACGCAGTTACATACACATGAACATGCATACAGGTACATAAACATGAATAAAGAGTAAGAGAGTTTGAAATACCTGACAGGCGTTCGTGGGCTACCAATAAATCTTCGAGGTGATCGGATTTTTGGTTCAAAAGAAAACTTTTCTTTCACACTTTCAAGTACAGATGGAGCCACATATGTAAAACCCTGAAAAACAGCAACAGTGTACTACAGGATGACATTTTGTCATGCATATCAAGAAAATGGCTTTTTAGTCTGACATATCAACACAATGATATACAAAGAATATACTGTGTATATATTTCCTTATCCTTGATCTCACTTTTGTACCTTCTGATTTTAGCAAGACAGGGTCTCTCTACGTACTACTGATTGAACTGCAACTCGCTATTGTAGACCAGGCTGGCTTCAACCTCACACAGATCCACCTGCCTCTGCCTCCTTAGTGCTAAGATTAAAGGTGTACACCACCAATCTGCATTTTTATACCTTTTAAAGCCTCATATGTTAGCTAACAAAATTTTACCCAATTGTTGGGAGTAGGGAGGAAAAACTCAACAAGAAAAATACAGCTTACATAGTAAAATGCTGACTATAAAGAAAAACAAATAATTGGGGCATTGTCAGCCACGCATTGTCTATACACATATATTACATATATACACATATGCACACACATATATCTACATTTATAAAATCTGATAGGATTAATACTTCCAAGAGTTGCTCAAAACTAAGCCAAGGTAAAATCAGAATTCTCTGATTTACCATGTGGTGTTAGAGGTTTTTCTGTTTGTTGCTGCTTTCATTGGTTGAATAAAGAGATTGCCTTGGCCTTTTGATAGGGCAGCCTTTATGTGGGCGTAGCAGACAGAACAGGATGCTGGGAAGAAGGGCAGTGTGGCAAATGCCATGATTCTCCTGCCTGAGACAGAGGCTGGTTAGAATCTTGCCGTTAAGCCACGACCTCGTGGTGATATACAGATTATTAGAAATGAGTTGAGTTAGCCAACAAGAGGCTAGAAATAATGGGCCAGGCAGTAATTTAATTAATACAATTTCTGTGTGGTTATTTTGGGGGATAAGCTAGCCAGGCAGCGGGAGGCAGCCCGCTCCTCCTTCTACAAGCACGTGTGACCGACCTTTCCACTTTCACACCAGTAATTGTATGGAATTAATTTTTAAAATTTTATGAATGCATATATGTCTGTGTGTATGTGCACATGAGTGCAGATGCCTGAGGACACATGGCATCAGATCCTGTGAAGCTGCATTAAATGTAGTTATGAGCCTCCCAACATAGGTGCTGGGAGCTAAACTCGGGTTCCTCTGAAAGAAGACACACTATTATTCACTGAGCCATATGAGTTTCTTTTTGTTTTTGTTTTTATGGCCAAGTGCCAACATTATGAAAATCCCAGTGTACAGGGCACAGTTGCTGTAGTATTGGATTCAGTTCTGTTTTGAATCTTGCTATTAGACCCCGACTCTCATTTTCTTGCTGCATGTTCCTTTGTTCAAACCATTGGTCCTATTGCCTACCTGCTTTCCTCCTCATTATGTGAGCATTATGTATCACAGTAAATGGTACTCAGCAGGCTATGAGTGAAGCTCTAAGAGGAAGGTATAGTTCTGTATTTCAGAGGCCATTTCTCTGTATGTTTTGGTGGGCTAAAGACAAAGTTGCATTTTATTCAATTTTTAAATTTCCATTAGTTTTAATGAGACCTCATCATAAATTAAGTATCTGTTAAACCTGAGGTTGTTAAAATATACAAATAAGTGGGATCTTAATGGGTTTATTTAGTTATTTTTGGCTGTTCTGGAGACTAAATTTTTAGATTAATTTCTAAAGAGGCATTGACTAGAGATAGAGCCAGACACCTCTCCAATGAAAAAAAATAATACATTTATTATCAAAGATGAATCACTGTTTTGCTATCAAATATTAATAATTAACGTTATAGCTAGGTGGTGGTGGCACATGCCTTTAATCCTAGCAGAGACAGAGGCAGAGACAGGTGGATCTTGTGAGTTCAAGGCCAGCCTGGTCTATAAGAGCTAGTTCCAGGATAGGCTCCAAAGCCACAGAGGAACCCTGTCTCGAAAAACAAAACAAAACAAATTCAACATTACAAATTCCCTGCAGAGTCAGGCTGATAGTCACCATAATTTTGTTTTGTTTGAAACAGGGTTTCTCTGTGTAGCCCTGGCTGTTCTGGAACTCACTCTGTAGACCAGGCTGGCCTTAAACTCAGAGAACTGACTGTTTCTGCCTCAGGAGTGCTGGGATTAAAGGTGTGCACCACCACCACTCAATGATTAGTATTCATAATGAAATAGTTCTTGTGATGCTAAGCCAAAAATCATTTTAAATCACTAGCACTGAACCAAACACGAATCACTCCAAAGAGTCAAACATTCTTATTGTAATTTCTAAAACTGAATGTTAGATTATCAGTTTTTTTTGCAGGGACCAGTTAAGTTACCAAGGAAATGGCTTAAAAGCAGAGTCACCCAGGTTTCCCACATGAACTTCTCATTGATCATCCTCATACTTAAATTTCCTATGGCAACTCAGAAATTCCTTCACTTACCAGAAAAACCTGGTTGGCACTTTCACTGAGAGTTGAGTCATCGGGGCTGTCAACAGGTGTCTGACGTGTAAACTTTGAATCAAATTGACTCACATCCTCTTCAGATTGCTTCATAAGAACAACATTATTAGAAAATGGTGACTAGTCTATATTATTCCTATCAATCAAAGGTGCCACAAGCCCTATAGACACTCTGCACAGAATAATCTTAGCAGCTACAGACAAGAAAAAAGATGAAGGTGAATGCCAATTATTTTAATCTTCAGTGTTTATTTTATGCATGCAGGTGTTTTGTGTATATCTGCATATCATATGTGAGCCTGGTACCCACAGAAGCTAGAAGAGGGTGTCGTATCTCCTAGAACTACAGGTACAGATGGCCGTGAGCCACCATGGGATGCTGAGAATCTCTCCAGCCCCACATCATCTTTTTGTGTGTTTGGTATCAGAGTTCAAACCTAGGGCTTTATATTTGCTAGATGAATACTCTACCAGCGAGCCAAAGCCTACATCTTCAAATTTTATATGTGAATTAACATAGATTTCGATATATATCCTTATTAAAACT